GGGTGCTTCTTCTGTGTGTATGTCTGTGCCTTCAGACAGCAACAGATCCCCTGGAACTGGAGTTTCAGATGTTTGCGAGTCATCATATTGGTGCTGAGAATTGAACCCAGGTCCTCTGCAAAAGCAAGTGCTTCCAACCGCTGAGCTATCTCTCTAGCCCAAGTCGTTAAAAGATATCTGCTGTAATGCTTAGATCTGAACATCTTTAATCCGATGTGGCATCTGCAAACCTACTTGTACAAACTATCCACTAGTGCATAACAAATCACTCTGAAGCTTAACGGAATAACTCAATGATAAACATCTGTGTTCTGTCCCAGTTTTTATGGGATGGGATTAGGGCTGCCTAGGGTGGCCTTAGCTCCAAAGTTCTCATGAAATCACACTCAAGAATGCTACCCAGTATTGCAGTCACCGAAGGCGTGACTGAGGCTAGCCCCAAGGTGGCTTCTGTTTGGTGCTAGCATATTGATGTTATTACAAGGCACCCTACCTTGCAGGCGAGTTTCCCAGTGTCTCTCCCTTAAAGGAACAACTTCAGATTCAGTACACTGAAGAAACACATGAATGTGTACAGATAAGGAAGCAAGAATGTTCATACAGCCATGGGTGGCAGTGGTGGGACTGGCTTGTCACAACAGCTGTTCCTCTCTACCTTCTGGTCTCCAGTTCCACCTCTCTTCATGATGCTCAAATGGTTCTGCTTCTCTGTCTCTCCCATCTACCCACCACATTGTTGTACACAGTAGTGGCTCCCCCTGTCGGTTGGCAATGTTGCAGGCTGTCCTCTGGGTGTCTACGGCTAGCCCCTACTGTGTGACACTGGGCTGGTCTCTAGGTTACCTGGTTAAAATGTAAATGATGCTTTTACTTAAATAACTGTCAAGCTAGTCCCCGGGCCTAGCAGCGACTATTGTCTTAGTCAGTAACCTAAATCTGGTGTCTTCTGTTTACTGCCACACTCCAATCTTTGTCTTTTTCCTACCTGGATCTCTGAAATCAGGCTAAATTGTCTCGGCCTCTGGCTCCACCCTTCTCTGTCCATCTTTCACAGCTGCTAAAAAAGAAACCACTTTCCCACAAAATTGTATGTTGCTTAAAACTTGCAGTGGGAGCTGAGGAATGGCTCAGAGGCTAAGGACACTTCCTGCTCATCCAGAGACTCAGGCTGGTTTCCAGAATTCCTGTGTGGTGGCTGACAACACCCTGTAATCCCAACTTGGGGGATCTGACACCCTCTTCTGGTCTCAGCTAGTACCCCCAAGCATGTGCAAAGACACCCTCATGCATACAAATGAATAATAAAATTAAAAGTGGGGGGCACTCATGCACATGTGTGGGGGAGTGTTCATGCACGTGCATGTGTGTGCATGTGTGTGCATGTGTGCATATGTGTGCATGTGTGTGCATGTGTGTGCATCTGGGTGCATGTGTGTATGTATTTCTCCTGGTTTCCAGTTGTCTCATTAGTAATGAACTCCAGATGCAGCACAGGTCCCTTCCACGACTGAGCCCTACCTGAGTATCCAGCCTGCTCCTATGCTACACATACTTCAGTCACAGTGACTCATACAGCTGCCCCAAAGAGCACTGCTGTGTCACAGAGTTTATCCCCTTTCTACAAAGCCTCTTGCTTTGTCACAGTCATTGAGCTCATATTCAATTTTTTTTTTCTCTTAGACACATTCAAACCTCTGCATCCTCTAGGCAGGCGTTCTGCCCAGCCCTCTGTCCCTTCCGGGAAGCACTTGCCTATCCCTCACCCTCCCCGTAACACTTCCTTTGGCTTTTTGCTTGTTTGTTGTTTCTTTTTGTTTTTGAGATGGATTCTGTGTGGGCCAAGCTGGCCTTGAGCTTGAGCTCCCCTGCCTCAGCTCCAGGAGTGCCCTATCAAAGCTGGCATGCCCCTGCTTCAGCTCCCTGACTGCTCCATGGTTAGGAGAGCTTGCTGAAAAATCAGTAAGACAAGAGTTTAGATCCCAGCAACCACATAAAAGCTTGCAAATACCCATAGCCCCATCTCCAGGGGATGTGGCACCATCTTCTAGCAGACACACACATACATAAATAAAATAAATCTGAACACAAGGGTAGAACCAGGCGTGGCGCACGCCTTAAATCCTGGCACTCATGAGGCATGGGATGGTGGTTTTCTGGGAGTTTGAAGGCAGCCTGGCCTAGATAGTGAATTCCAGGCCAGCCAGGGCTACACAATAAGACCCTATCTAAAAAGGAGAACCAAACAATGTAGCACAGTGTCAAGTATTAGTAATTTGAAAGTGTGACATCACTAGGTGAGGTTAGTATTTTGCTTTTTGGTTGTCTATCTTAATTGTCATATTTTTAGGTCTAAAATACTTTGAAGAAAATATCTAAGGAAAGTAAACTAAAATAGACCAAGATTGAGAAAACTGGCCCTGGAGAGGGAACTAGGGAGAGAATTCGATACAGTGTGTGTGTGAATGTCAAAATGAAACCCACTTTATATGACTAATCTACAGTAATTACAATGCCTAAGTAAAAGACTGGATGGTAAAGTGTCCTGATGTATCAACTTCTGGTATTTTCCAGAAGATTAAAGAACATCTACATTCTGAGCCAGGCGTGGAGGCCCAGACCTTTAATCCTAGCACTTGGGAGGCAGAGGCAGGAGGATGCCCTTGAGTTTGAGGCCAGCTTGGTTTACAGAGTTCCAGGACAGTTGGGGCTACACGGAGAAACCCTGTCTCAAAAAACATACAAAGCAAAACAAAAACATAACTCAGCAACAACCAAAGAGAGAATATCTAATGGTCAAATCTCTATAATAGAAAAAACAACCAAATGAAGTCTTTGCCTATGAATTATACATATGATTGTACTTCACTGAGGCATGAAGTTTCTGACTTGAAGCAACAAGGAGACTCTCCTGCTCCAGGACCAGGAAATGATGAGAGGAAATGTATGGGGTTATAAAGTCAGAACGAAAGTGTAGTGGGTCTCATACCTCTATTGATAATCTACCGTATCTAATCCACTGAGATAAGAACTCTATCTCAATAGATTGGTATCTTGTATTCTCCTATGCCAAACTGATGGAGGTAGCAACACTTTAAACCGAAATGAATTTAAAAGTTACCAGGTCCTTTATTAAATGAAAACAAGCCAAATATTCAGCAAAATACGATTGTTTACACATGACGGTATCTGTGTATTCAACTGTCCCAGTCTTAAAACACAAGCATGTGGACACTGACCTCAAATATTCAGCAAAATAAGATTATTTTTCTGGTGTGATGACTTGGACCTGTATTCCAGCGCTGAGGGGGCTGAGGTAGGAGGGTCTGTGAGTTCAAGGATAGCCTGAACTACGGTGGGAGACACTGTCTCAAAAGAAGAAAGGAAGGAAGGAAGAGAAAAAAAACCTAGGATTACTTGTAAACTTAGCAATTCATATTATCCCAGTATGAAAAATAAGTCAAGAAAAATAGAGAGACAAGTATTAACCCCCAATAAGTCTGTGGCTGCCTTCCTGGATGGGGACAGACAGACAGAGCCAAAATTGTTAAGGTGCCTGAGCTCACTATGATGTCAAGTGAAGACCTGGCCTGGAAGTTTCCAAGGGGTCAAAAAATTTATTAGAATACCTGGCCTGAGTAATCGAGACAACCTTCAGCTCAATAATTCTTGTCAGGATCAGTGTGGTCAGAGAGCTCAGAGGCAAGAGGAACAGGAATAAAAGAGTGTAGAGTCTGGGGAGCCAGAGTGGCAGGATCACTCAGACAGTGAGCCCTCTAAGGAGCATCACACTAACACTGAGGTGACTCTTCCTCCCCAGGGGAGCACTCAGAGTAGTGTGAGCCAGAGGGACCCTCCTGTCCCCAGAGGAGCACTCAGAGCAGAATGGTGTGAGCCAGAGGGACCCTCCTGTCCCCAGAAGAGCACTCAGAGCAGAATGGTGTGAGCCAGAGGAACCCTCCTGTCCCCAGGGGAGCACGCAGAGTGGTGTGAGCCAGAGGAATCCTCCTGTCCCTAGGGGAGCACTCAGAGCAGTGTGAGCCAGGGGAACCCTTCTGTCCCCAGGGGAGCACTCAGAGCAGAGCAGTGTAAGCCAGAGGAACCTGGCACCAGCACCTGAGTTGAGAAGCTGGGACAGTTGGGGTCACTTTTATCTACTTGTTGAAATCTCTTCTCTTATTTGAAACCCATTTTTTTTATGTTCTTCAAAAAACTTTCCAAGCAGTCTGTGGTCGTGGTTTTCTTAACTTACACATAGCCTTTTATCACAGTGCTATGAATACATATATTTTAGGTTGAAATCGTGTGTGTGTGTGTGTGCATGTGTGTGTGTGCACATATGTAATTTTCAGTGTCCAGTACTGGGCGAGAATGTAGCAGGTACTCAGTAAGCTACTTATGAAAGAGTTGTCCAGAAACTGACTTCCCAAAGCTCCCAAAGTTTCTTTCCAGCATACAAAGATACACAGCCAGCAACCCCCAGAACAGAGGGCCTGTGGCTCCCCAGGACAAGAGGAAAGCTATCCCAAATGCAAATCCAGTCTCAAAGTGCTACAAAGACAAAATCAGGAAAGCACGACCCCCTCTAAATCCCTCTTGGGGACCAGGCTCTCCCTGTGTGGATATGTCTGTATATACATGTGCTTGGGAAGGGGGTCGGCTGTGGGGTGGTGGGGAGAGAAAAGCAAAAGAGACAGGCCACTCCACGAAGTGATTTTGTGGAGGGGATTTGCTATGTCTCTTTCTCCCCCTCCCTCCTTTGTCCCCATTCTCCTCGTCCCCTTCTGCGTTTGTCCGTCCGGGAGGACCCTGGAGTGTTCTTTTGATCAGCTCAATCTTTCTCTGGCACTTGAGTTCTGATTGGCTGAAGGACTTAGAGGGAAAAACTTTAATTAAGTAGATAATCTCTTCTTTGGGTGTGAGGTAGCTCCATTTCACCACCCCTTAACTCTGTTTGGGATCGCTTACACACCAAGGTAGCCATCCCTCTGCCTCTGAGGAGAATGCTTCCCATCTCTCAATTTCTGAGGTGTTCTCCCTGCATTTCTCGGAAGACCATGTTTCTTATGAAGCCTTTGTGTGTTCTTCTAGTTACTTGTGTCCTTCACCGCAGCCGCGCCTGGTAAGTAACCTGCTTGGATATGGGATATGCTGGAGAAATCGAGGAGGCCTTGAGCTGTGTCTTGGGAGAAGCCATTCTATGCAGTAGGGCTGTCCCTAAGTGTGCCGCTGGCCTCAGCAAATCTTTAGGATTCCTGCCAATAAAAGATTGAACTTAAAAACATGACAGACTTTGTATATTTTTATAGATGATTATACTACAAATTTCAAGTGATCTGGGGAGAAACAGACAGTAGCCTGGAGCATTAACTCCTGACCCCGTTGTGGCCAGGGGGATGCTTCAGGGCAGGCTCCTGTGCTCACGCTGCTGGAGTCAGGATGGGCAGGATCCGATCCTAAGCTTTCTGACTTTTCTTCAGAATTCTCTAAGAAACCGCTCATGTTAGCATCCTCTGAACCAGTGCATCCAGCACTGGAACTGTTGGCATTGAGTTAAACAAACAGGTCTGAAAGCAAATAGTCCAGCTCATGCTTCAAGTTGTTCAATGTACAGAAATTTCTAAATTTCTCTGAAGATCAGATACAGTGTGAAGGCGATTTGCAAACTCTGGGACAAATGCTAGGTGATAATATCCTTGTTCTTGGGGACCGTGGGAGCATCTGCACACGCAGGTGTTAATAAGCAAGAACATGATAATATAAGGCCTTGTCTGAGGAGTGCCTGCCACTAGGCAATTTGGAGTTTCTCCTCAGTTCCGATGCTATCTCAGTCAACACCCTCACAACCCCCCCCCCTTAAGTTTTCACTTTGACTCTCTACTTAAGACACAAATCCACCTGCTTCACAACCTATCCAGGAAGCCAGAATAGAAGTGCCCTTGCAGGAACCTGCTTCCTGTGCTAATTGAGACCATTCTTGTCCTGAATAAGCCTAGGGATCACTTCTACAGTGTTGATTTCAAAGTTCGCCAACTTAGCCCAACTACTCACAACTAAACGTAACGAGTTGCAACTTTTCTGACTATGGATGAAACCACGAAATAATTGGTCTGTTTTAATTGGCCTTTTAATTGAATATTTCAACATGAAAAGAGGAGGAGAGGGAAAAAAAAGCCATCTTTGCCTCACGAGAACAAAACGACAAAAGGTCTGTGAGACTACAGCAGGACATTTCTACTGGTATCCACCCTGCTCATCAGCTGATTTAATATCAGCAAAAGAGAAACACGAGAAGCTTCTCCCTAGTCAACAGGGCAGGGCAAAGAATTGTTCCATTAAAAAATACCTTTACTGTGTGTCTCCCTCCCTGCTGAAGGGGGTCATGTGCACTTCATTCCGACACTGACACAGCCACACTGAAGGGTGGCTGGGTTACTTGTCTGTCCAAATTCAAGTGTCTGGATTCAAAAAGAAAACAAGAGAAAAGAGATGTGAAAGTTCGTCCTAATTTAAACACGGGACCTAAGAACGCCCCCTCGCCTGGCCTGACGTGGAGCGGGAAATCCCCAACGCTCCAATGCAATGCGCTCAGACTTTAATTGCTTCTCCTTAAAAGTCTTGATTAGAATTAAAAACGTATGCTCCGCCAAGATTCTGCTTTTGGGTAACGTTTGAAAAGCGATTTTTAAAATGCAACATTAAATATTGCTTATCCCTCTAGTGAGACGCTGCGGGTTTTGTATAAGATCCCCATTGTCCCTGGCAGAGAAATTTGACCAACCACAGCCTTTGACATGTTTTTCTTAATGCTTCATTATCAACCTTTTATGTGAGACCTCAAAAGCATTTAACAAACAGACAAGCACAATTTCTGCTTGGCTGTTCAATTGTAGGGCCGCTTGAAATTACTGTCTAAAGGAGTCCGGCAACAAACATTCCTGGGCTTGAAAGGAGATAATAGTGACTTTCACCTAACCGGAGCGAGCAGCATTACTGAGGAAGCAGAAGAGGAACTTTTAAAAAGAGAACTTGCCACCATCCCTCAATGGCTGAAAGTTTCCGAGGGAGGTTATTCCACAGGAACTTGGGAAATGTTTTCTTTTGGTTTTTCCTAATCTTTATGGCTCCTTAAAATGGTGAACAGAGATGCATGAGCCAGAGATAATGTCAAGGAGAGAGATAATGACAGCTACGGTGAGGCCAGATCAACTGGGCCTGAAACACCTTCTCATCAGGAAGAAAACAGGTGTGACATGCTTTTCCTTAACTGTTCATCCTATCTCACTCCAGCTAATGTCCCATAACAGCAATGGATGGATGTTCTCCGGTCCTCTGCCCTCACCTCTCCTCTCCCAAGGCCTGCAAATATATATATATATATATATATATATATATATATATATATATATATATATATATATATATAT